TATAAAGACATCACCTTGGACTTTTAAAAACTGTGAGTTTCATCTCAAAGCCACATTTCTGTTCAAACTTCATCATGTAGTATTGAGGGAACGTGAGACACTGATTGATCACAGCCCTGCGTCACATGATGGCTTAGTAATGATTACCTTTCGTGATAAAACATGAAGTATCTGAAATGACCTCCTGGAGTCGTGTGAGTGTTGCAACGTGTTGCTCTTAATCCTCTCAAAGCATTTATTTGGTTACTCCACCTTCAAGTCCTCCTGCACAAAGTGTAATTCTCTCTGGTATCTGAAGCAACACGCTCAGCACGGTGTTGATTCAACCCGGCAACACGCCATGCACTCATCAGAGATCAAAGATGACAAAGGCTGGAATAAATACTTCACCCTCGGATCATTTAGATGTCATGAGTCACTCGAGGATACCTCCAACTCTTTGTGTTGTGCACCATGGAGACGCCAGAGGAACACAGTGTGCTGTTGGAGGTGAGCTGGGGCTGACAGCAGCTACGCTTTACCAACATTTAGTTTAGCAAAGACTTCTCACACAACTGGAGCAGAGTGATTGATTTCTGCCGCTGTCTGCTCACTACTGCCTCTGGGAGACAAGTGGTCATAGTGGCCAAACGGTGGTACTACAGCTTCATGTGACATCGGGAACACTCATGTGTGCATGGCTGCATGCTCCATGATGGGCTCAATGGGGGCGGAGCGTTTCCTGAATATCCAGCGGACATCCAGGGAAGATCTGGGAAAAGATCCAGGGGAGATGTTTGGGGTATGTTTTTCTTCTTTGACGGGAGTCAGGCCATTTTAGCTTCCTGAGCAACTTTGATAGGAACGAGCATGGTCTCTAACTCTGAATCCAGTCCCAGAGTATCAGTTCTCTCAAGACCTCCCCAACCTCCCTCCTCCAAGACCTCCACTCCCTCTCCAAGACCTCCACTCCCTCTCCAAGACCTCCACTCCCTCTCCAAGACCTCCACTCCCTCTCCAAGACCTCCACTCCCTCTCCCCTCTCTGCTCAGACCTGCAGGACCAATCATTGCTACACGCAGTGTTGTTTTGTCTACCCACCATTCAGTCTCTGCTGAGTCTCTACATGTCTGACTCTAGTGTGTGTGTGTGTGTGTGTGTGTGTGTGTGTGTGTGTGTGTGTGTTGTGTGTGTGTGTGTGTGTGTGTGTGTGTGTGTGTGTGTGTGTGTGTGTGTGTGTGTGTGTGTGTGTGTGTGTGTGTGTGTGTGTGTGTGTGTGTGTGTGTGTGTGTGTGTGTGTGTGTGTGTGTGTGTCTCTCTCTCTCGGTGTGTGGAAATGTCACTGTGTCTTCCGCATAAAGGAAACCAATTCTGACCATACCTTCATTGGCCTTATGTTGAATCGTGCTGTATTTAACACATCATTCATCTCCCCCCCCCCCCCCTGCAGGTGAGAAGCTGCGGGTGCTGGGCTACAACCAGAATGGCGAGTGGAGTGAGGTGCGCTCTAAGAACGGTCAGGGCTGGGTCCCCTCGAACTACATCACGCCGGTGAACAGTCTGGAGAAGCACAGCTGGTACCACGGGCCGGTGTCCCGCAGCGCCGCAGAGTACCTGCTCTCCTCCCTGATCAACGGCTCCTTCCTGGTGAGGGAGAGCGAGAGCAGCCCGGGGCAGCTGTCCATCTCCCTGCGCTACGAGGGGAGGGTCTACCACTACAGGATCAACGCGGGGGCCGACGGGAAGGTAGGGAGGAAGTCGATCATTTATGAATCACACACAGGGTTCACACGGAGGGGAGAAACCTGGGAAAAGCCAGTTTCTTGCGAATTTTGAGTTTAATTCAACTTTTGTTTTCCATTTCTCTCCGCTTTGAGGGAGTCTGTGTGTGTGTGAGAGGTAGAGATCAGAGTAGATAATGAAAGCATGATTATGAATTGGTAAGGTTATTAATCACACTAGGTTGGAGTTAAAGACAGGGTTCATACGGTGGTGAGACACCTGGACAATTCCTTCAAAAAAGTGTTGAAAAAAGGAGACAGTCAAAGAAATTGGTCTCTTATTTTTTATATCAACGTATTTTAAAAGCTTTTACTTATTTTGTTCAATCAGAAAAGGAAAAACAACCATTTTAGATAGTATTTGTGTTGTATTTATGTGAGTTTATCTGTTTGTGGAAGGGGTTTTAAATGCACAGATCCAACCTTTACACACAGAAATGTGGACAACAAGACATCAACTGTTTCCCCATTTCCCTCCAATCCTTAATATCGGTTACCTTTTAGACTCACGTTCTCATTTATATACGAAGACTTCACAGAATCTGAATTCAGACTCGTGAAATGGTAGCCTGTACTCATGAGAATAATGAGCCATAATGTGCAAAAACCCTGTGAAAAAGCTACTTAAGTGCTGCTTTCTGTTGGGTTCATTTCTTAACTCTCTCCTCTCCCCCCCCCCCCCCCAGGTATACGTGACCTCAGAGAGTCGTTTCTCCACGTTAGCGGAGCTGGTGCAACCACCACTCCACGGTGGCCGACGGCCTGGTCACCACGCTGCACTACCCGGCTCCAAAATGCAACAAACCCACGGTGTACGGCGTGTCCCCGATCCACGACAAGTGGGAGATGGAGCGCACCGACATCACCATGAAGCACAAGCTGGGGGGGGGGCAGTACGGGGAGGTGTACGTGGGCGTGTGGAAGAAATACAACCTCACCGTGGCCGTGAAGACACTCAAGGTGAGATAACGGGACAGAAACCAGAAACTATTTTACAAGTGTTGTTCTGTAGTAAGTGCTGCAAAAATAATAATTATGATCGTAATAAAGTATATTTACTCGAGTGCTATACTCATGCATGACGAGTACTTCAGTCAAATTAAGAAAGCACAATATTTAACGCTATCAGTCTCTTCTGTTAAACATCGAAATACTTGTTGCTTTTATCATATTTAACTGTCACTGAGCTCGACTGTGGAAAGCTGCATTATAGCGGTGGTTGCAGACCGCCCCCTGCAGGCTGACGCTGGTATTACACTCTGTCCAACCCTCTGATATATTCCCTGTTTTTCTTTTTGCACTCATTTGAATTGTCTGATTGACAGGAGGACACCATGGAGGTAGAGGAGTTCCTGAAGGAAGCAGCCGTGATGAAGGAGGTCAAACACCCGAACCTGGTTCAGCTGCTCGGTCAGTATTTAACAAAAACTGTAGATTCTCCAAGTTACTTTTGTACACACTTCCACTCTCAGGCCTATTGTGTTTTAGCCTCTACCCAAACAGACCTTTTGTTGAGTCCTCCCAGAGAGGAGACTATCAAAAGCTCGTCAACATGTCAATACTGAAAACATTGTGTGTTTGGTGACGTCAAATAATCCCCGTTATTGTCTTCGTGAGGTCTTACAAATTAGATTTTATGCGATGCCAAATGACGCACAGACAATACTAGTAGCAGGCTTTCTACATGTTTAACCATGAACTCTCGGAGGTCTCAGCCCTTGTTTCATATGCTAGGCTTGTTTATTAATATACCTGCATTGCTTCTGAATGCTATTGAAACCCTGTGCTGCACAATCAAGTCAGAAACATGTTTTTGTTCACAAGAAGCTAAGCTATCAGCTTATGTAGGCTACAGGGATGTACACGTATGTACACAATGCAATGCTTCATGGGATGCATCATAAGATCCACATCCCTACAACATCTACATTTACTTCCATCGTGGAGGACATTCATTGTTTGTTTATACGCTTCTTGAAAATGGTACAAACTAGCTGCAACATGTGAGATGGAGGTGTGGCGCTGGGCTACACCAGGCAGGTGAAAGGGACATTTAAACTCTCTCTGTTGTGGAGATAATCCAGCGAGAGTGGGAAAAAGTTAATGTGAAATCCCCTCATATTGAGACTAAGAGATGTCAGAATGCAGTGTGGGGGTCATGGATAACTCCCACCACACACCCCCCTCTGTTTAATATCTCTCTGTGTAACCTTACGTGTTGTTTACCTGTGTATTGACCGTGTGTCTCTCTCAGGTGTGTGCACGCTGGAGCCGCCCTTCTACATCGTGACGGAGTACATGCCCCACGGGAACCTGCTGGACTACCTGAGGGACTGCGACAAGGAGGAGGTGAACGCCGTGGTGCTGCTGTACATGGCCACGCAGATCTCCTCCGCCATGGAGTACCTGGAGAAGAAGAACTTCATCCACAGGTGAGAGGAGGCAAGAGGGAGGTGTCACACGTTTATTACACCCAAAGGAATCACAGATAGTCCTTTTTTAAAATATGCTCAAAACTCCTCAAATGGCTCCAAAAACACCTGAAAATCTGCCTGAAAAGCATCACAGCTAGGACACATGTTTTATGGTTTCCATCCTTTTCATTGAATAACAACACATCTTTAAAAAGCTCTTATCATAGAGAAAGGATACATACAAACACTTTCTACCTTTCTTTCCATCTCATGTAAGGCTTGTTCCATCGCCCTGATAATAGGACACCACGTCTTAATTGACGTTTTTTTTGGTGAAAAATCAAGATAACGATCTCAAATGAGGTTCTTCATGAATCATAATATCCCCCTTCATCAATAAAGAGTAATAACTGTTATCTCTTGCTTTAGAAGTCTTGTATTTCTAGGCTTTTCTACCATGATAGTTTTACATATTTATCAAACCCACTTAAAGGGGACCTATCATGCAAAATGCACTTTTGTACGTCTTTTCTACATGAATATGTGTCCCCGGTGTTCCAGGGAACTCACCAAGTGTCAGAAAACACAACCCTCTCTATTTTCCTCCATACCCAAATCTCTAAAAAAGGGGCTGCAACGGATCTGATAAAAACTGATCCAGATTTGAACACTGTCCTGACGTCAGGACGGTGGCGCTACGGCTATTGGGCCAACTCCACCAATCAGGAGGAGACAACCACGGCCATTGCCGTTCCAAAGCGCTGGAGACGCTGTAGTACATATGCCAGGCCTGTAGATGGTGCTGTTCTCACTGAATCAGGCCTTG